GCTATCAGGGAGGCTGGACTCACATCGTCTCCATGAAAACAAAAGTTTCATTTTCACACACATCTTACAGCAGTCTGTTTACTTTAGAAGTATTTATCTCCTGCTCTGTTAATTGAACATTAATCACACACAGGAGACTGATGCAAGTTCTAGCACACTATTGACAGAGCACAACATAAGAACTTCTAAACAGAATGTAATAAGGAAAGCTAAAAATGTTACATTATTTTCCAGGAAATGTGTACAGAGGCTATGTGAGTCTCAGCCAGGGTAAGTGTGGCTAGGGCTGCATAAACAAAGTGACTAACTCTTAAATGGCAGAGAAATTAACAGTGAGATTACAGGGGCATGACCTGTACTCCAAAACCATTTTATTAAGCTAATGTTTTTGGTGCTTTGAGTCCCTTGTAAGGCATCTCAGAACATTATAGCTGTTATCATGAAATGATACACTTACAAGCAGAATCTCTTCCAGCATTGCTATTCCAGTTTCCACCTTGTCCTCTCCCATTGCCTCTCCCGCTCCAGGGTCGACCTCTCCAGCCTCCTGAGTAATGACTGCCACCCCCTCTCCATCCTCTATCTCCTCCTCTCCAACTCTGGCTCATCACTATATATTCAAGAGAAACACAGAAATAATAAACAGTGATCAGTTTAATATTTCAATGGGGAACACCTGGCACAATATTTACTAGTACAGGAAATGATGGCAACCTTGAAAGGATGGTTAGCAAATGTGAAAGGTAAGAAATAAAAAAAATATATATTTCTTGCTTTTACACCACTCTTTTGTCTACTTCCTATTAGTTCTCTGAAGTGTACACATGACTATCCACTACATACAGTCTTCCCCCAAAAATAAGACATCCCGTGAAAAAAAGCCCTTGCTTATTTTCGGGGGATGCCCGAAATATAAGCCCTACCCTGAAAATAAGGCCTAGTTGCTAGTCTAATTTGCTAATCTATGTTCGGTGAATTTTCCCTGAACAAAGTTTTGAGGAATTCCATTCGCGAGTAAGCTTGTCTATGTTTGGGAAAGTTTCCATGAACATAGATATGCAAGATTCCATTTGCAAGTAAACTAATCTATGTTCGGGAAAGTTTCCTCGAACATAGATTTGCAGTATTCTATTAGCGAGTAAGCTAATCTATGTTCGGGAAAATTTCCCCCGATTCCATGCCCTAGTTAACTGGTCTATGTTCGGGGGAATTTACCCAAACATAGACCTGCTTTCTAGCACATGCTTGCTACTGTTTTTCACCCAGAAATAAAAAATCCACCAAATATAAGCTCTAGTGCATTTTTCGGGGGACAAATTAATATAAGATACGGTCTTATTTTCCAGGAAAGATGGTACAACATTTTTTAAATCAATGTAATGCACTAACCAAGAATTCCCTAAAATCTCCTAAGGGAACCTGTGCAAGGATGAGCTCGGATTATTAAGCTGGAAACCTGAAAACATTTAGGTTTAAAAATAAACACAACAACAATACATTCATTTTTTTATTTTAAAATGTAAGTGCAATTCAGACAGATGGTAAAAATGCACCCTTGAACGTTTATTTAACAGGTTTAAAACCGAGGGGGATTAAAAAATAGGTTAAAAAACAAACAAACAAACAAACAAACAAACAAAACGCAATAAACATGCATTCTTCCAAGGTTCCCTCCTATTTAGTGGGTTTGGACGCAGAGACTCCCACACCAGGAGGAAACTGGTATCCCTTAAATCATTTCTGATAATAAGTGGAACTGTTCTGTAAATGTTTAGTAGCCACAATGTAGCTGTTGTTGTATAGTCTAGTTCACTATCAGACACACATAGTCCACGATTGGCTCTTTCTCACATTTATCTGCTTCCTCAGGGGCAGCTGTACAGCCTTTTTCCATAGCAGAAGTTTCTCTTCCTCTTTATCAGTATCAAATATGTCCAACTTTGGATGGAATTCATTGCTGATCGATGTCAGTGGTCCAAAGACAAATGGAATTAGAGTTGCTACCTAAAGTATAGATTTCTACTTTAGTAATATCTGTGAAATTAGGAACCCAGGTTTGTACCAGGTATGTCCTGAATTCATAACAACTATACTGTGCAGCGGTGGTTATGGTGCTTGGAGTGCTCTTTAAAGGGACAGTATGCACCATATCTAGCTACAGCTAATTGAAGTTTTTATGGTGCAAAAGGGCCTTTGGGTATCATCGCCTTGGTTTGTATTAAACCATTTTCAGGTTGTTTTGCACAAACCAGGGTCTACCAACAGCACAGAAATAGTTTCAGGTGATCCGTAACAATTATCCAGTTAGGTTACGGTCACAACTCGGCTATATTAGCCTATATCTTGCCATTCATATTTCGTTTGTTATAAATTGACATTTAGAGAATAAGCTCAACGAATACAAACCCAAAATGCTAACTTTATGCAACAACACCTGATTTGCAAAAATTCTGCAACCACATTATACTCACAACTTGGCTATTTGAGCATAAATTTTGCATTTTTCCTTTCAATTTAATACATTTCATCTTTTAATGGTTAAAACTCCACCCGGTTAAATCAAGGTGAACGGTAACAAATTCAGAGGGGCTTTTATTCACTAAACATCAAATTGCAGTGACTTTAAAACCAACCAGGGACATTTAAACTGAAACAGCCCGTGCTGTGACAGCAGCAGCGATGAAGAAGTTTTCCAAACTCGTACATTTTGCCTTAAAGGGGCACTGTCATGCTCCCCTTAAAAAAAAAAAAAATAAAAAAAAAAATGAATATTTCAAAGTTAGAATCTTTGTGAAATACTCATTATGACTGTGTTGGAATATCCCTGAAATTCTAACCCAGTCAAAAGACATACACAGTAGGGGATACTTTGTCTCTGTATTTCTACTCTGCCTGACTTTCTTCGACTCAAAGCGGAGTCTAAGAGTCAGTCCCATGGAAATGGCTGTGTCTACGGAGGATCCCGGGGTCTCTCGGGATCCCCCACAGACCTCATTGCTGAACTCTCATGCATGCGCAAGAGTACGGCAGTGACATTGGCTCCTGGTGCAGTTGACGCAGAGCAGCGCCTGCAAGGGACAAGTTCCGATAAGTAAGCTCACCTTTATCTGCCCCCCTCCTCCCTCCCACCCCATGGCCACCGGACCACCAGCGGCGATGTTACCATTGGGGGACTTTGCGAATTCACTATTAAGCTTTAAATTCGCCACATTCTCCTAATCAGCAAATAAATCTGAAAAAGTGTCGGTGCCAACATGGCTCCATATCCAAATCAAGCTATTTTGGCCTAAAAGTTAACCTTCTCTTTGAATGTCTGCCAATTCGCAGTTTAGTGAATAACCCCCACAGGCCTGGTGTCAGTATCTGCTGCTGCAATGACTATACTCTACCTTCACTCTCTGCTCCCCTTCTGCCAGCAGTTCTAGTTTACCGCCGGCGTGACGTCACTTTCGTGCGTCAGGCCTGCACCGGTTGCCATAGCAACAGGACCATTAAAAAAAAAAAACAACAAAAAAAAAACAATTTTTTTATACTGTAAAAAAAACACATATATTTCCCGTCACTGTGCCCTCTCTCACTACATTGACATACATATTATCACAAAATGCTGGGTATAAATGCCAACCCAAGGTCACGTTCTGATTACTGGCTAAACAATGTCCGTCAGCCATGTAAAATACATCACAGTGGGTGTAGCAGGGCGGCAAGAAGGAGGAATCACTGGGTTTATTCTTATTTTGATGCCGGCGAGTTGGCATTACTTGTCACGTGACGCTGGCCGAGCAAGTCGTTCGGCGTTCGATGCGCTCGGCGCTCGGCCGCTCTCCCCCTCGCCTTGCCTGCAGAACCCGGAAGCGGTGTGTTCAGGGAGCACGTGGGTTGTTGCTGCTCTGAGCGCTGGGCTGGGAGTGCAGAGAGGAGAGCCGCTATGGAGGAGAGTGTGCCGGCTGGCGGGGAGCTGATCGGGGAGGGAGACTTCGTGGTACTGAAGAGGGAGGATGTGTTTAAAGCGGTCCAGGTGCAGAGGAGAAAGTGAGTCCAGCATGGGGACTGGGAGCCATGACTACATTATTATTATTATTATTATTAATAATTATTATTAAATTCTGGATTATAAGGGATTCCAAATGTTGTGCTGAGATAGCTGGCCTGGAAACACAGCTCTGGATTAGATATTACTGTATCTATTGCAGCCTAAAATTTTAAACCTGAACTCCCAGAATTGCATTTTTTATGATGCAAACAGTAGGTGTTGTTAATGCAGGGGGTCACACTTGTCCAATCCATTGACATGCTGAATAGGAGCAGGTCATTGTGTATGGATAACGTGTGGTACTCAAGTTGGTGTGCAGAGTCCCTCCTACAATGGCAAGCTGGATTATTTTTTTTTTTTACTGTAAAACAGGATTTTCCAAACTCTGGCTCTTCCAGATGTCCCTGAACAACAAGTCCCATAATTCTTTGAATAATGTGGTTAGCCAGAAAACCATGGGAGTTGTAGTTCAGCAACATCTGGAGGGATTTTGGAGAACCCTGCTCAGCAGGAACTTCACTAAGATTTGTTGTCTTGCTGTAAACGAACAAAAAATATTTTTGTGGTACAGTTGACACATGCCTGAGAAGAGGAATAGCTGAATTGTGTCCCGTTCCCCTTATATTATTATTTTTTATTATTTATATAGCGCCAGCAAATTCCGCAGCGCTGTACAATGGGATATACATTGGGTAACACTTGGCTTCCCTCAGAATATCATGCCAAGGAATTCTTAATTCTCCCAGCTTGAGTGTGCACACAGTACACTTTTTATTAGAATGCTAAGGGATGCTTAGTTCTATATTATAAGAAGAATCCCAAATAATGCACAATTTTTTTTTTTAAACAAAATGGTTATCCAGATCACTTCATATCAAAAAGATCCTAAGGGGTTGAAACGTTGCTGTGTAGTGATGTTGCGAACCGTTCGCAAACTTGCCGCGAACGGTTTGTGGCGAACTCCGGTCAGCTGACACATCCCTGCCAATCTCCAGCAGACCCTCCCTCCCAGACCCTCCCACCTCCTGGACAGCATCCATGTTGAAGCTGCCTTCAACATGGATGCTGTCCAGGAAGTAGGAGGGTCTGGGAGGGAGGGTCTGCCGGAGATTGGCAGGGATGTGTCAGCTGACCGCAGTACCGTTCGCGGCAAGTTCGCGAACAGTTCGCGACATAACTATTGCTGTGTAGTTCCTGGTTCTAATGAATTGCTTATAATTTTGTTTTGAATATTTTTATTGTTTTCACAATATAATCGCATATGTCAAACTGATTTGTGATAAAGCAGGAATATGCCCGCGCAGGGGCTTAAGCGTCAACATATAATAATGTAAGCATTGTGTCGCCTACGCAGAGGCGGTTTTGGTATTGCCTTTGTTTTGAATATGTTGATTGGTTCATAACATAAATTCCATTGCAAACGTATATGTGGTTAAGTGGTTAACCGCCTTCGCAGAGGCGTTGTTTTCGGTGCATGAATAATTCAAAGTAGCCATGTCCTGACAGAATGTGGGGGTACTTATGTTCTGCAGGATTAGATTTTTCATTTTCGTTTAACAGGTTTGGTGTTGCCGTGTGTTAGTGTTATTGGCATATGTGTATAGCTGTGTTAGTGTCGATTAGTGGCTCATGGCCTGCTAACATGCATCTTGGTGTATTGATACGCTGAAGGAAGTGGTGGGGTATGTTCGTGTAATTATCTTGCGTTGACTGGTTCGTGTAGTTTCTATGTGTTTGTGGGATTATTTTGAGTATTTGTAGTGCTGTCATAGCACCCGTGTGGGTAGCATCTTCGTGAGTGGTGGGGCAGAGGTTGCCCACGCAGGGGCGTCAGGTTGCATTTCATACATTTGATGGCATTCCGTCGCCTTACATTGAGGCTGGATGGTCCTTGCGTGTACCATACCGCAGAAATATTCACAATTTGTTACTCGCATTTTACATCTGTATGGCTTGCAGTGTTGCTATATTACCGCTGCGCCTGCGTACATTGTTGTGAGTGTTTCTGCCTAATCTTATTCTATTTGTTCTGGTGCCTGTGCTTGTTTGCTCCCTGTGTGTCTGGGTATCTGTTGCTTTATGCAGTTTGGTGTTTCCTGGTCGTGTGTGTCTAGGTGTGCCCTGCGTTTGTCTCCGTTCGTGTTCTAATGGGTCGTCCCCTTTATGTCTGGTTTTAAGGGCTTCGGTTGGGTGTGTGTCCGTGGCGTGGCCTACTCTTGGTTCCGTGTCTCCTATGTGTGTTTTTCCTTTCTGTGTTGTCTGCGGTGTTGTCCCCCACTGCGTCTTGACTGTCCATGGGTCTGTTGAGGGTTGAGTGTCTCGTGGCTCTAGGTAGGGTCGCTTCATTCTGGTGTTGTTGTCGGTCAGTCTCGCTATGAGGGGGTGTCTTGGTAAGGCCTTTAGGTTTCCTTTTGCTACTGTGTCTGTCTGTCGGGGTATGTTTCTGGGTTTAACTGGTGATTGACATGGGGGGGGGGAGAGGGTGTTGGGGGGATGCGTGTGTCCGTCCCCTACCGCCGCCGTTGTCCGCCCCCCTTCTCTGCCTCCCGCCCCGACCCCATCCTTAGCCCCCTCCGTCTCATCATTCTTGGTTACCGTGTGGCCAGGCGGCGTTGAAAGTCGTTTGATGCGGTTAATCGTATCCAGTGGAACCAGCGTGTGGTATATCGGTCTTGAAGTTTCGGAGTGTTTGCCATTAGGTCTTCAAATTTCCTAGTGGTTTCCACTTCCTCTAGCCATCGTGTTATCGGGGGTGTGTTCGCCTGCTTCTAGTAGATGGGGATGACTGTTTTGGCTTCGTTCAGCAACCGCGGTATCACTGATCTGGTGTATGGCTGCGCGGTCATGTTGGTGTGGTGGAGGAGAAAGGCGGCCGGGGACCCCGGGAGTGTCTCGTCCGTTACTTCGTGTATTATATCCCTAATTGTGTCCCAGAAGGGCCGGATTCGTGCACATGCCCACCAGATATGTATAAACGTGCCTGTTTCCTCTCCGCATCTCCAGCATGTGTCTGGTATATCTGGGTTTCTGACGTGGAGTGCTGTCGGCGTCAGATACCATCTGGTGAATATCTTGTAGGAGTTTTCTTGCAGGCGTGCAGAGCTGGGGGTTTTTTGTATGAGAGTGATGCATTTGTCCCAGTCTGTTTCCGACATGGTCTCATCTAGGTCTTCTTCCCAGTTTCTTATGCAGGGCGGTGCCAATAAATACCTACAAGTGATCAATATCGTATATATCTGTGAGATAGCTCTGGGTGTTTCCGTGGTCTGTGTGCACAGGTTCTCAAATTGGGTAGTTTCCCTAAGTAGGGATGGTTTTTGCGGGATGGATCGAGCATATTGGGAGATTTGCGCTCTCGCTAGTGTGTGTGGTCTGTCCGGGAAGAGTTCTGTTAACGGCCGTATGTCGAACGGGCGTACCAGGACGTCTGTCATGCGAGGAATTGTTGGGTGTCCTGCTGGGCCCGGTGTGGGGCTAAGGTCGCCTGCTGGGAAGTCCGGGTTGCCCCTTAGTGGCAGCAGCGGGCCTGGATCCGTCGTCAGGTAGTGTTTTGTGCCCTGCCTGTGGCAGATCCGCATGGTTGCCGCCACAAAGGGGTTTGTGATGCGTTTGCGCCTGTACGCCGCCGCGGATATCCAAGGCAGTGTCCGGAGGTCGCAGTTGGTGGTGTCGGATTCCAGTTGGGTCCATGGTTTTGTGCCACTGGCTACCGTCCAGCTTATGACTCGTGTAAGATGTGCTGCGTGATAGTAGCGTTCGAAGTCGGGAAGCGCTAGACCTCCTCGGAGTTTGGGTAAAATGAGCTGGGTGTATGCTATGCGCGGGGGTCTGCCCTTCCATATAAACGTGCGGACCTCTGCCTTCAATGTCTTGAAGAATGTTTGTGGGGCTTGTATCGGTACTGTTTGAAACACGAAGAGCAGTTTGGGTAGCAGTGTCATCTTGACCGCATTTATCCTCCCTAGCCATGAGATGTAGTATGGGCTCCATCTACGCAGTTCCTCCGTCACTTTTTTTAAAATGGGGAGGTAGTTTTGGGTGTACAGGTCCGCCGGATTGGGTGTAAGCCAAACCCCCAGGTATCGCATGCGTTGGTCGCACCAACGGTATGGGTAGCGTCTCTGCAGTGTGTGTCTGTCCGTGTGTTTGACGGTCAAATTCAGTATCTCTGATTTTGAATAATTTGTAGGTTTGAGATTCGTCCGTATTCCTCAAATTCTGTCTGTATCGCTGGTAGGGACATTTCTGGATTCGTGACCACGAACAGCATATCATCTGCGTATGCTAGCGTTTTGTGATGTGTGTTTCCGATGGTAAGCCCCTGGACGGCGTCATTGTGCCTGATCCTGTTGAGGAACGGCTCCAGCGTCAGTGCAAATAATAGTGGTGATAGTGGACAGCCTTGTCTAGTCCCGTTGTGTATCTGGAATGGGTCCGTTAGTGCACCGTTGATCCTGATTCGTGCCGTCGGGTCGGTGTATAGCGCCCTCACCCATATGCTGTATCTCGGTCCCACTCCCGCGGCGTGGAGGGTTTCCATCATCATGTCCCAGTCCACCCGGTCAAATGCCTTCTCCGCATCTGTAGATAAGAGAAGGGTTTGGTTCTGTTGGGTTCTGACGTGCGCTATGATGTTCAGGGCTCTGATAGTGTTGTCCCTTACCTCCCTGCCCGGGATGAATCCTGTTTGATCCGGATGTATTGTGGCCGGTAGCAATGGTGCTAGTCGTAGTGCCAGTATGCTGGCCAGCAGCTTGATGTCGGTGTTCAGTACTGATATTGGGCGGTAGCTTGAGCATAGTGTTGGGTCTTTTCCTTCCTTTGGGAGTAGGGTGATATTCGCCGAGGTAAATTGCGCGGTTGGTGTGGCTCCCTCTTGTATGGAGTTCAGGGCTTTCAGTAGGTGTGGCACGACCTCTTGTGTAAAAACTTTGTAGTATTGAAGGGGTAGCCCATCATTGCTTATAATTTTGGAATTCATTGGAGTGCCTGGATTACTTTCTACAATTAATAATTTTATACTTGGTCCTTTCTTGGTACTGGGACTTGTCCATTGGAGCACCCTGGATTCCTGGATAAAGGGTTGAGTGCACGTCCACTATTTCTTGTATACACTTCATATCAATGTCTTATTCTATTTATATGAAGATAAAAACACGTTTGCTGACTAAATGTAATTTATTGAAAAATCTTCACTACTTAAAGGAACAGCTTTGTTTTTTAAAAGTATGGTTCTAGTGGCTGTCACTCAGAGGGGTTAGAGGTACTTCCTGGTTGCTGTCCTCTAAAGATTGCAAGACTGACTTTCGTTGCAAGCTCCCCGTAGAGATGTATCTGAGGAGATGCTGATTGGCTTAGCGATTGTCTCTCATGACACTCCAGTGCTTCCATATGAGGAAGCATTGGATTGGCTGAGATCTTCAATATTGATGATCTAAGCCAGCATAGGAGTGGCGGCTGCAGCGTAAGTGAATAGCTTTAGTTTCTAATTTCTGGGGAAGGAGGGGGCTGAATCTAACTAGCTAGTATGACAATGTTGCATTAGCACACATTCTAGTGTTTGTAGTGCTAGAGTGTTTCTTAATCTATATCCATATATAATGGCAGAAACCACAGCTCAGCTCCAACTCGGTAGGTATCCACTAATGTGGCTCTCTTGGGCCAGTCTAATTTTTCCCATAGAGAAGTACTGGGGTCCTATGGTCTATACTTTGCATTCTTCATGCAAATGCTTCTCGTGCTCAGAGTAACTAAGGAAGAGAACCCTTCGAAAGGCAATTGCTACCTCTTAAACTTAGCTCAGCTGAGCTAAACAACCAGGAATTAACAGGACCTGGTGTCTGATTGACATACAAGGGGGTGTCAATTAGACAATCTGGAACAGAATTCTGTGCTGCCTAAGTCACATGTGCTGAGGGGGAAACTTGCCTTTGGCACACAAGTACAAATTACTCTTGATGCACAGTGTTTCAAACAGAAACACTGCACATCTAGAATACTACCACCATGACCACTTCAAAAAGAAGGGGTCATGCTGTTTGGAGTAACTCTGCAGAGAACAGATCTATATCTCTTTAGCGTGTATAGTGACTTACATTAGTAATCACACATGGCTGCCAAGCCTTTAAAAATAA